AATAAAGGACACGCAGTTAAGCATGTTCAATGTTCATCATTCATACGTCAAAGATTTAATAAAACAAGTTGTAAATCAGCATATGCATGATTAAAACGCATTTTTGGTAATACATATCAGTATTTTATTAGCTATCTGAGTCAATATAGAGTCTGCACATCCACACTATAGCAGAAAGCTTATAGTGAAAATTTGAAGTCTGTAGCTATTGTAATTGCTAAAATCTTAGCCGGACAGCCAGCCAGCCAGCCATAACGAATACAATAGCGTATTTTTTTAAAAAATGTGCTAAAAAGTTATAGTAAAAAATCAATGTTTTTCATGTACCATAATTGTACACTTTTATATTGTGCTTATAAATTCTATACGCTAAGATGCTGCTTATAAAATCAAATTAAAGTGACGTGTCAAAGAATAGGTTGTACAGTGCTAACATTCTTATTATCGTGGACGGATTTTTCTGAAATGTTAAAAGACAGAATGTAACGTATTTAAAATTTTTTACTTCCATGTCGACATTCTTACGCCCTCTGTGTATTTCTCGTGTAAGTTCGTGTAAATAGTTTTGTTTGTAGAGTTATTATTTCGTAGTTCGTTATTTTGCCACTAGAGGTCAGCTCAATGCACTTTTCTAATCTAAATTAAGTCACTGTACTTTCTACACAGTTACTCTATAGAGACAATGTGGTCATACGGTGAGATCCTCCATGTTGAGCCAAAAAATACACCGGATTGGTAGAAGTTAACCTGGAAACCAAGGTGATGAATTTATTTGACACAATTGTGACAGCAGTATTGTAACCATAGCAAAATCTACTAATTTGGTTTAACCAATCAGCTCAATCATAAATTGGAAAAAACATGGCCGACATGGCCACACTGTGTTTATACAGTCACCGTACTTTTCAAAACAGTGACTCAATTTAAAACAGTGGTGACAACGGCGTATTTCTTTTTTGATTGGTCGTTGGTTCCGTTCGGTATATTGGGGCTAAATTGCTACTTTTGTGGTGGCGTTTACAGGTTTTTTTCGTGTTTTTGCGAAATTTATGTAAATAAAGGTGCTGCTTAAGATAAAGTGTATAGTGTAGACATTCGGTTGTATATAAAGATATAGTTTGAAGTGCATAGAAATTAATTACCAAAGTTTTGCTTAAGCTGCCTAGTTGTGATTATGATTATAAATACGCTAGAATTATTTTAAACGTTTATTGCTGAAGCACAACGAATATGACTTTTCCCTAATGAAAGTAGCAGTTTTTATGGTAAAGTAAAAATCAGGAGTCTGTGTCCCTGGGTCATTGATTTGTTAATCAATTTCGGACATACGCTAGAACACTGCAACATGTAACAAGTGTGCAAAATCTATAGAAAAAGTGTCTGAAATTGATTCAGAAATCAATCAAGCAGCTGACTACAATTGTAAATTGTTCCTATGCTGCCTTGTTTAAGTTAGCCCCAATATGGCGGATGAGAGGGGATTATGATAAGTTGTCGCCCCTGTCCTAATACAGTTACTGTACTTTTTAGCGCGTTGTTGAAAAAAAGTAGCGCTTATATATTCACTTTGGCTGTTTGGTCAGTCGGCTGCATAGGTTTTTAGCGCATTTTTGAAAAAAATACGCTATATATTCGTTATTGCTGGCAGGCCGGCTGTCCGCGTTAGATCTCCACAACTACAATAGCTAGAGACTTCAAATTTTCACTAAAAGCTTTCCGCTATAGTGTAGATGTGCAGGCACTAGTCTACAGGGTGATTCCTATAGTACCTGCCACCGCTTGGGAGCGTATAGGGGGTGCCTAGGGGAGTATTTTGATATAGGACACTTGGGGTCGGAAATCTAAAATAAGGGCGCCAGAACCAAATTTATCTTCTGGAATTTCACGCCTGTATGTAGGCAACCCAACCGACCGACGTTTCGCGCGGAGCGATGCAGAGCGAGTTAGCGCGAGGAAGCGACATGGGAGGGAAGGAGGGAAAACGACAGTCAAAAGCAATAACGTTTACAAGTGTTCAACGTGGCCACCGTTGTTCTCAATGCACTTCCTACATCTAGCCAACTATTATTATACTATTGCCATAGTGTTTATTCACTTGATACGCGTCGTTGCAGACGGGATTTCGTGGGTTTAAACAAAATTCTGATCAAGTGTCAGCCACACATCGCCGCCTGAGATCGCTCCGTGTGCACCGCCGGCCGGTTGGGTTGCCTACCTACAGGCGCGAAATTCCAGAGGTAAATTTGGCTCTGGCACCCTTATTTTAGATTTCCGACCCCAAGTGTCCTATATCAAAATACTCCCCTACGCACCACCTACACGCTCCCAAACGGTGGTAGGTACTATAGGAATCACCCTGTATTTTGAGTTAGATTACTTGTGAGATCGATAATTGAAGAAAATAATTTCGATATGGGTTTCGGAGGTGCTATAATTTTACCGTTAGATAGCGCTACTAGTATAAAAACTTATTATTTACTTTGTGATTTGTTTTACAAAATGAAGACGTACCGTCAATTGAAATTAAATAAAATTAATTATTTAACGCAGCCAAAATTACTCGTGAGATCGATAATTTTAAACTTCGCTAATAAAATACCGACCTGCATTACCAAAAATGCGCTTTAATCATGCATATGCTGATTTACAACTTGTTTAAGTACAATTCACGTAGGAATCTTCATAGAATGCTCGGGATTGAAGCATTAGCTTTGTTGTGTTACAATTATTTGCATGCAGATTATATTTTATGATTTATGATTGTGCTAATAACACACCGATCCGCCGCACAAAAATGCCGCATCGAGTACTTCCCAACTTTCCAATTTAAAATGGATGGCGATTTAATTCTATTTGGTGAATTAAATCCAATGGGATTAAGCCTTGTTTAGTACTGGTATCATAGAATTTGTAATTAAGTCCATTTAGGAAAGGAATTGTAATTGTGAATTGTTGGCTGAAATCAGAAAAAGGCTCAAATCACGCGCAAAAGCTTAAATCACACGAAAGACTTAAACTATCATATGAAAGCTTAATTCCTTTCAGAGATGCTAAATCAGAAAACACTACCACTGCAACCACTATGCTAAAAGGAAACAGTTGGTATATAAATTGGAAATGTATAAGTAATGGTGGAACCATAGTCATTGAATAAAACGCAATGGTCTTATTATTAATTATTATACAATGGCGCTGTGTAGAGTAAAATTCTATTTGCATCTTTTTAAATAAAATATCATCACGATACTATTTATATTTATATAATATTTGTGTTTTAGTTATTTAGGTACATAAAAGTAAGGAAAATGACACATTACTATACTAGCGAGGAAATAATGAAGGACGAGGCCCCTTTAGGGGCCGAGTACTTTAATTTCCGAGTTTCACTATACGAGAAATTTCCGGAAAGTGGACGACTATTTTTCATTACAGCTCCAAATTGCTCTACATCACTGTTTTATGACCAAATCGGAAACATTCCCTGTGTGGGGTTGTGCGAACTTGGGGTAATAATTGTGGAAAAAAAATGTCATACTCAGAGAGGACTCTCCCAATATCCTATTCAGACGTGCCATCATTCTAACAAAAAAAAACAGAAATGCAATTTTGGGGACTTTTTAAAGGTAGCTAGTTTATTTACGGCCCTCGGTTTATTTGAAAAATTTTTGTTGTAGTCTTCTTCATCACCCAATTTTTTTTTAAACAAGTTAAATCTAATACTCTGTGTAGCTGAACTTTAATAATTCGTATAATTTAATTGTTTCAGCAAGCATTTTTGCTAATTTTCTAGGAATCCTGATAATTTATACCTACTGCAGAAAATTGCCAAGATTGAATAATTAGGTTTCCATAACTATATAAATGTACAACTTATTTATTACAACAATTCTGGCTATTTTTCTGTGGAATATGTACTCATTTTTACGTTTACTTGCAAACTACACTTGAACCCAACTTTTTATTTAAATTTAATTAAAATTAATTATTTTAAGCTCAGTTTTAAGACAGTATTGCACTAACAACGACTGCAACGCATCAAATATTTTTAATTCATTGATTCATTATGTTTAAAAGGTTCACTATCAATACACCCTCTCTGGTTTGTTATTGCGTAATTCTACACCGTGGCTTGGATTGAGTTTTAACAACGAACGCGTGTACGAGAGAAAAAGCTAGCTAGCCAAAATCCTAGGTAAAGCCATTAGTTCCACATCGCCATGTGTTGGGATTGGCAAATTTTGAGACTTTGTGGGTATGGCCCCCATTTTGTACCTTTAGTTTTTAGTTCATTTGAGAGAATATTTTTTACATGTTACAACCTCTTATTTGAGAGTTTCGCTAAACAAATACCCAGCAAATAATCAATTTTTTTTATGGTACGCGAACAGCGGAAGTAAAATATATTCAGTGTGTAATTAATATAACCTATTCACTTTTCAGAAAGCAAAACGTATCGGTTTACGGCAATTTTCAAAAAAAGTAACATTTTTTGGTGTAAAATGTAGTTTTCGAAGTCGCTGTCGAATATTAAAGTTTTTATATTTCTCGCTTTCGCTGCACGAAAGGTCTGCTACTTTTTCTATAGCTTAACATTTTCTTGAATTTCCCTTTGTGAAACGTGTTTAGGCTGGGCAGTTTTAAAGTATTTGAAAACGAGTCGTATCAAAAATAAATGAAGTAAATCTGAGCTTAGGTACTTCTGGTAATAATAAAATGTGAAAAACATCAGGACTGTATAAGCTACAGAAAGCAATTCACATCAATTTAAATTTAAAATATGAAGACAGAGAAAGGACAACAATTTAGAATGCAAGGCGCAGGCTGTAAAGATATTGACCGTCACGATGTCCAAGTCTAAAGGAGGGGTCAACTGATGACAACTGGACACCTTTGCTCGCCAATTCACTTAAAAGTTGTACGAAATTATTGTTACATTGTGCTTGGGAGATCAATTATTTAACACCGCCGTCGCATCAATTAGTAAAACCGCGTTTACTCACCGTACATCTTTCCTTCGTCTGAGAGTATGATTTTCCGTCGTCCACATGGGGGGTAAATTGCCAGTGCTTCCTGAAAACTCTGTTCAATATCCGGACTCCATACTCCTTCTGCATCTGCAGCTGCCATATCTTTTTCATCCTAAAACATTTTATTAATTTTAGTCTTTTACTCATTTTTAGAATTGCAGTGTAATATCAGTCGTAAAAGACAACCATATTAAAATTTTAAATGAGTAGTAAAATAAAGAATTTCTTTCATATATGCTCAACCACTTTTTATTGCGACTCCTACAGATGTACAAGGAATCCTAATTAAGGGGATGTCTTCCAAATTAATGACGAGAAAAATGAATAATGTAAGGAATTGATTATTGTCCTAAATCCATGCTACGAACTTTTTTCTCAACACTACATGACCTGGATACCATCAATTTTCTATTCTTTTCGAACTCATTACTAGACGTTTAAGACATCACATGACAAATTCAGTTCTCAAATCGTTATTTTTCCAATATACTCAGGTTCGAGAACATTTTCGATCACCCTGTATATTGTTTCAGTGTAACGCAGAAGCCGACTTTTTACGATTACATTTCGATTTTTGCGTACATTGTGTAAACAACAGTTTTGGCAATTGACCAGAACGTTGTTAATTGTAGGTACTAACATTACAAAATGACGACATTTCGTCTAGTTCATTCTGAAGAACACATTCGAAAAACGAGTAAAGTAAAAATAACGAAGGCATGCCATTTGCACTATTTTACTTGAATATATGAATAAAATATGAGTCATACATTTGCATCATTGTTTAATGTAATTTAAGCACTACCAAAAATACTTCAATCCTGCACTTTAATTTGTACATGTGAATAGGTTTTATGTGTTATACAACACATGCCGCTTTTTAAACAGTTTTAAAGCTCAAAAATTGAAAAACTGGTATCAGCCAAACAAATTGGCTGAAAGAAAGAGAAAACAATTGCAAATTGTGCTCAAAATAAAATTAATGTAACTAGTAGTGACAAGAATCGCAAGCAGCGGAGAACAAGTACCTATATTATTTTTAATGAATTCGTAGTGTAAGAATAAAGGATATTACAGATTATGTAGTCCGTCCGTCCGACCGTAGCTCAATAACGCTTTGACATATAGAGGGTCTCATCGAAAAGAATTAATGTGTAGCCACCACAGTCCTCACTGATCTCTCAGGAGCGGATTGTTGGGATCACAAAGTGCGATTAGCACGTCTGGAAGAAATATATCGATTGGCGATGTCAAAACTTTAAGATCAAATATCTCGAAAACGCTTTGTTGGAGGAGGGTACTCACAAAGCAAAAATGTATCGTCAGAACGAGACATATCTATTGGTTAGGTCGAAACGACTATCTCGAAAACGAAAAGTCGGAAGAGAGTACTCAATACTCACAAAGGGCAAGTGGAACGTCTGGACGAAACACATCTATTGGTGATGTCAAAGCAGTGCAAATATCTGCAGAACGGAGTCTCGAAGGAGAGTACTTTCAAAAGGCGGTTGAATCGTCTACACGAGCTACAGTATAAACATTTTCAATAAAATGACGATTATGGATTTGTATAATTACAATTCCTTATTACTGGTATTATTACAATAGTTTAATTAAACAATGGTGGCTCAGCTTGCCTCCTATTCTAATAATAAAAAATTTGAATTGTGCAAACTTTAGCGCTTTAAATTTTTTGCAGTGACATCTAATGCATAAATCCACAATAGTTATTTTATTGAAAACGTTTATACCTACTGCTGCTCAATAGAATTCGCAGACGTACGTATATCTGTGAGATCAGCGGCAATGTTTGCACTTCTCCTTTAACAATTCTTTAGAGTGCTTTACTTGATTTCGCAGCTTTAGTAGTTTATTTTATTTATTTATTTTTGCCTTTATTTTTGTGTGGGCGGCGTTTCAGCCAAGGCTCTTCTATCAACCCAACTTACAAATATCCATTCCCGAACCCGGATTCGAACCAGGGACCCTTACTACCGCAGCCTAGCTTCAACTCAACCGGCAATGATTGAATGAATTATCTGTCTATATCATGTGAAAAACAAGACCGAGATAAATTCATTTACTACGATTGTACTAACAATGGTATTTATTCATTGATTTTATTTATTAGGAGGTGGATATGTCGGCTCTAAGCTCTAAAAAATTGTGAGGTCGACGACAATTTTGCAAAAAAAAAGTATCTTACGACATAAGTAAATCCGCTGAGAAAAATCCTCGATTTATTTTGAAAAAAAAATGGATTTATTTTCTCTACCGTTCAATTTTTTTTGGCGTGCTTAAATGTTACACCCTAACATTTTCTGCAATGACAAGACGCTTACAATATTAAACTTGCAACCGTGATAAGATATAGCAGAGGATTAGTAACCCTGTCGAGTTCGACGAAAGGGTTTGTTTTTGTTCATGTGTAGCCGTAACTGGAATAAATTCAAATTTACAGCTACCGTTACAGAATCTGTAGACCTACGTAAATATAATACAAAATTGTATCGATGCCGTACGACTGACAAGAATAAGTTTCCTCATTTTTTTTGTTGAAATTTTTTTTTACTTTTTAGAAAATTCTAAGAAAATGACTATCAATATTCTAATGATTCTAACTGCTCTCAAGGTTCTCAGATGAAAAGTTCTAAAAGATTTTGTAGCGATTTATAAAAATTACGATTCTCAGAATATTAGAAAAAATTCCAAGGAGATTTTTACATCCCACCAAAATTCCAGTGATTCGAAAGATTTAATGCTAAGTAAATTAAAAGATTCTAAAATCATTATAGACGGACGATCAGATTTTCCGATGTGTTTGAGCATTCCCTTTCCAATTTTACCAAAAATGATGTGTTCCTATCCCAAGATTCCTATTCTGGGGGTAAGAAAAAAGAAAATGTTTAAACATAACATGAAAGTAAGAACGATTCTAAACAAATCCAAGAAAATTTTTTTCAAACTCTCGGAAAATTCTAAGATCCTAAAAGGTTCTGTATAAGATGCTTCTAATCTTTTTAAGGAAGATTCTAAAAGTATTATTTGTAAGAAGAGAGAGTACTAAAAAAAATAGTGAGAGGATTCCAAGCTGGCCTTAAGAAGATTCTACAAAGATTCCGAGACGATTCCATTTCGCGAAGATTTACCCTAAGAAGATATAAGATGATTCTAAAATCGTAAGATGATCTTAAGAAGGTTCTACGATTATAAAAATGTTAAGAAGATTCCGAGGAAGATTCTAATGACGAGAAAGATCCCAAAGGAACTTTTAAAACGAAAAGATTCGAAGAAGACCACTTTTATCAATAAGTTTTGATATAGGTACTCATCCATTCTGATCAATTTGTCACCGTATCTATCCGTAAATCCATCCCTGAGGGATCAGTTTGTTTTGTACGAAACGTCGGTTGAAAGATGAAGGCGAGCTCAAGACGATTGCGTTTTATACAGTGACAAAATATGTAAGAAATAATTTTTATCGACTTGTGATGAAGGTATAAGGTATAAATGGTATAAAGCTATTTTGATTGAATAAGGCCACCGGAAAACTGAGTTTGATTTCTGCTCATCGACATTATTTGAATGAATAGACCTCGTCAGTCAGTTTCACTTACCTACATCATATACCACATTACGCTTTATTTGTGTAAACTGGACATCATACTAATAACCTGTCCAAAATATGTACTACAAAGAAATACTTGTGCTATAAACAGTACTAACAAAAAACAACAGACTACTAGATGTAACAAATTATTTAAGAACTATTGAATTGTTTGAAAAGATTTAACCTAACATTGGTCGCCAACAGTCTTAGAAACCGACGCGACCTTAAACTTAATAATAAATAAAATAAACATTGATAGTTTATGGGTGAATACGTAAATAAATGCTAATCTTGCTTAACAAAACGAAAAAAACCAAACGCAACGGTATCCACCAATAACGTTTTTCTGTATTTTTTTCCGACCGTGTTCAATTGAAAAACATTTGTGTAAGAGTCAATTGCTGCAGATTTGCTTCGATACATTTGCGATCATTAAAAAGCCATGCCAATTTATTGAAAACGAATTCCTGTCTGCTTCTTTATTTTTTTATATATGCGCAATACCGATCACCGACAGTTATCTAGTCAACTGTATCGGATTTTTATTGACTTTTTTTCTTTGCTGATGCGAATAGCTGTATGTTTTTTCCTGTAGAAGTCATCTTTCGAGTTAATAACGTAAATATGAAAGTGCAGTTTGAATATGAAACCAAAAGGTTTTTAATACGCTTAAATTATCATAATTATGAACTTCCTCTGTCACCTAATTATGAACTGTCATTATAACAGTACTTAACCTAAGTCGTGCAAGTTTTAATAATAAAATTTTATAAAAATTATTACAAAAATATACATACATACAATGCGTGTGTGAAATAAAAACATGAATAGGTAAAGATTAGTTTTGTCTAAAATGTTACATTTACAACCATGTTTACGTTTAATGTTTCTCAAAGAGGTTTATAGTGCTAAAGTTGCAACACCGAAGTCCGAAATGTGTTTTTAAACAAATAAACTAAGATTCGAGCTAAGATTCAAACATCTAGCGCAAAATATAGCGTCAAAATTCGGCCATGGGTTGCATTAAATTCACACTCATTCATATCTGGTAAATTCAAATTCCACAGTTGCATTGACTTAAAATGAGTCCGAAAGAACATATTTTAATTATGCAAAAAGAAATAAAATTAAGCCATGCCTTGTTCAAGATTTGGTCGCTAGAATTCATAGAAACGGGGTCTGTATCAATCAAAAAGTTGGTAAATCAGCGCATTTAATGCATGATTAACGCACATTTTTGGTTAATGCAGGTTGTCCAGCATATTTATTAGCGCGAAGTTTTTAAAAATTATCGATTTCTCACACGATTAATGTTTGGCCTGCGTTAAAAATACATTAATTATTATTTTTCAATGAGGCAGGTACGTCTTCATTTTGTAAAACATATTCACAAAGTCAAATAATAAGTTTTTTATTTATACTGGTTAGCGCATCTTAACAGGTAAATTAATAGCACCTCCAAACCCATATCGAAACATTATTTTCTTCAATTATCGATCTCACAAGTATCTAACTCCAAATAGACTAGTGCCTTTTGCACATCTACTTATTAGCAGAAATATTTTAGTGGAAAATTTGAATTCTCTCAGCTTTGTAGTGTGGAGATCTCACAGCAGGACTAGCCGGCCTGCCAGCACAATAACGAATATAATAGCGTATTTTTTTTTTCAAAATGCGACTAAAAAGAAATCAACCAAGAAGCTTAACGAAGCAGCCATCATGTTGAAGTTCTTGGCTAATTGCCTAACCTCAATAATTATCAACATCTTAGTTTTTTTGTTAATTATTTAAAATTTTGGTTATAAATTGTCTCTACATGAATATTGACTTTATTGGTACCACTGGAAAGCATTCTCAGTAGCTTCCAACGATGTGTCACAAGTATGGGATTGCCAGTCTTAGATTTTTAGTAAGGAGGGGCTGGGGGGTAAGGGGGGTGGGGGGGTTGTTCACTTCATAACGTCATCTGGTTCCCTCTTCGAATCCCCCCAAATGGTTACTTGAGGGCGATTTCTCAATATCTTCTATTAGTTTGAAATTATGCGTTGTTTAGTGCGTTAATTTATCGAGCTAATTTTTGCGTAACCATAGCGTCCAAACTTAAAGCAAAAATTCGTTCTGCATTTACGAGGGGTTTTTTTAGGTACTACCTGTTTAATTAATTATGGGGGAGGGAGAGTATTTTTCCGCTTTACTCTCCTGTAGACTCCACTAATTAATTTGTTTTACTGCTTCAATTCCCGCTAGGGAATTTGCCGTAGGGACCGTGGGCCGTCAAATTTTGTTTTAGGTCGTGGGCATGGGTGTCTCTAAATATGATGTACATACGGAGGGGGCTAATTCTTGGCTTATTTTATGACCGGGTAGTTTTAATTTTTAAGTTATTGGAAACTTTTGATTCTAAGATAAAAGCCTACAATTTCTTTGTTAATTAAGTTATGGAAATGTGATTATTACACAAGTTTCTTTGGAATGATTGTTGCATAATCTGCTGAGTTCAAAATAAGTATACGGGACCAGGTAAAAAACTTAAAATTGTGTGAAATTTGTACCATTTCTTAAGTTTACGGTGACTATTTCTAAATTTTTTATTTGAACCTTTTTATTCTTTTTCGAATCTTTTTGAATCGCTTGAATCATCCATGGCGTGCTATAATTTTGAAAAGAGAATTTAGTATTCTGTCTGTTTAGATTAAAATATACAGGGTGTTCCATTTAAAAAAATGGAGTTAGGCCCGATACCTTTTTTCTTGATCTCGTAAACTTACTTTGAAAATGGTAGATTATACAACATTTTTGTAATAAAGGCATTTGTGATAACTTAATAAACAACGAAATTATAGGCTTATATTTTTTTTCTCAATTTTTTTGTAACAAAACCTGGCACGATATTTGTAGGTTGTACACAGAAAAATAAGGTCTTTCGAATAACTTAATCAAAATGTTAGGTTGCTATTTGAAAAAAAAAATTCTACTTACGTCACTAACGTCGCCGACGTCAAGATTTTTCGTATCGGGGCCCGGGCCATTTGTATCGGCCGGCGGGCCCGCCACTGGCGTCCACGGCGACGAAATTGTGTTAGCTGTCACCACGCTGCCTGAAAATAAAAAGAGGTGCAATCATAAAGTTGCTCAAGACTGTTTTATAAATATAAAATCCCTTTTGAAGATTCATCCATATGCACACATTTACATTTATTCTTTTTGAACGTGAATTTTCAAATAGTTTTCGACATGTTTATTTCGCCATAGAAATTCCATTTTGAGCGCCCAATTCCTTATTTCTGATAACAACATTACATTTCCCAAATTATAGCTCGGGGATAATATGCTCAGACCTTAGGATACAGAATATTAGAGAAAATTCCCTTCAAACTCAGATGGAGTTTTACCCATCAAATGGTAGAGTAATACACTGTCGTACTTTTTCTAAATTTATCGTGAAAATAGTTTAGCACAATTAAAAATTAGAAACTTAAGAGTAAGAAATAAAGGTGTAGAGCATCAGAGTGCGGCACGGGACCTGGCACTTTTTCATGAGGTTAATGTTATTGTTATACAATTTTATAAGGGTTTTAAAATGTAAGACAACACCGGCCCACGAGCGTTGTATGTAACCCACATGTGGCTTAATATTTGCCATATTTAAATAGAACAACTCTTTTCGGCTTTGTACCGGGTGACCCAATAAGACTGTTCCTCGGCCATATGTCGAGAACCGTTCGTCATATGACTTAGAGGTAAAAAAAATTATTGGGGAAATCGGTCATGAAGAATCGCTGGAAAATATTTTCAAGTTCTAAAAATGACCAACAGAGGGCGTAACTGCCATCTTAAATTTTAAAATTGCATTTTCTTTAAATAATGCATAATAAACTAAAAAAAATTTTTGACATTTTTAAAGAGAACCAGTTTATGTATCATTTTCGTAAAAACAAAAACTCAAGTTATTTCAAAAACAAAGATGGTGCGGGGCGTTCAATTGTTTTTGCAATAACCTCCTTTAACTTCTTACCCGTTTGACCGATTTTAACAAATTTGGGCAATGAGAATCAACCAAAATATAGTTATTTTAGTTGAATCCTTCTCCGCCAGGGGACTAGCTTTGACACTATGGGTTAAAATTCTAAAAAAATTAAAAAAATCAAATGGAATGATATGACTTTCTTTATAAAAAAATAGTCAAATAACATCCAAAAAGGCCAGTGAAAACCGTTTTTCAAAATCTCGTTCCTAACCTCAAATATTGGGAAAACGAGATTAATAATTAATTAATAAAAATGCTTAAATTGTATCTTAAATTTACTTTTTACGTATTTCCAGTATTTGTCGATGGCGCGAAAGAAAAGCACCCTACACTTTTAGGTAGGCCTTCAAAAATTAAACAAACGAAACACGATGCATTATCAAGTAATCACAGCCGTAATTTGTAAATTATTCTGCTGTGTTTACATGTAGAAAGTGCAGTTTTTTTCTAAAATGCTGATTTCTAACCAAGAAGGAGCATTAAGGCACCTTTGAGTGGTTTTTTGACTATAAAAAATGTCATAACCACCGGAAAATGTCGTAAAACACCATTTCGGATGCAGAATTACAATATTTACATACATACATACATAGGTACATTATATGGAAATTTTTATTCGTTCCAAATATTTTTAATTTCAAACAACACACAGAAAACAACACTCATGTGAAAAAAAAAACAAATAAATAATATACCTATAAATAAATAATGCAGATAATCAAGAAATTGTCGTTTGAATCAATCCTGCCGTCTTTTGTTCACCATGGAAACCTAGATGTCTGGAATGTATAATTAATGTATAAAATGCACTATTAGAAACAATGTTTAAAATAAATCTAATAAGTGAATGAGTGATACATCAAAATTTAGAAAATTTTACACTCGTTTCAAAAACTAGTTTAAGGTCGTATAAGAAAAACCAAGTATAAAAACTGTATATCGTGATGGATTCTACATAAAAAAGTGCTCTAAGAAAGATTTTGTCAAAATCAATTATCTTTAATAAGAAAGTTATGGGGCATTAAAGAAATCGACTAAATTCGAGAAACGCCCCCTAGTGGCCAAACGATTAGAGATAGTTGAATTCTGTTGGCGCCAATGATTTCCTCTTTGAAATTGAGCTCCAGACACATGGGTTCATTTTTTCTATCTCTTAAAATAAAGGGCGTTTCAATAAGAAGTGTCCAACTTGGACCACCCTGTACATCACAATCATTTTTAAATATAATTGAGAGTGGTTCGATTGTTTAACCCAAAAAAAGAATAATAAATTGTCTACACTACAACCATTTTAGACCGGTTTTACCGATTTGTTATCACTTAGATATTAAATAGAAAAGGTGTCCTTATGTGTGAGTTGTTCTCGCTATAAATAACTAGAAACAGAAATGCAGTACAGTAATTGGTGGTTTAAGACACTTGTGTAATCTTGACCGCAAAGCCGCCTTATATAAATAAACTCCTATTTTTACAATTCTCGAATCCTAAACAACTAAACTACCCATGGTTAAATTTACCTTCGAAAATTTAATACAAAATCCTTGACATAAGTTAGAGAAGTATTTTAAATTTATTTAGCTAGAAGGTTTGAAAAATTGAAATGCGTGCCAGTTTTGTATACGTGTTGTGGTGTTATCGGTTAAAATCCCCCACTTGTATTTGACATTTGAATATAATTACGATTGACTAATATTACACAGTGTTTAATCCGATGAATCACTCAGGTCGCGAAACTTTCAAGCTTGGTTTGGCACGCTTACAATAATATTCTATTAAAACACAACGTTGTGTTCCAACAAACTTTTTCCAGGAGAATCTTATTAAAAACAAAAACTATTTCCGTTGTTGTATAACAGCAATTGCATTAAAGTAATATGAAACGGACCCTAATTTAATTATACTGGCCCTTTGTGAATTTACCCCATAAACTCCTATGTGTTAGGTCTGTCAACCCCTTGTAAAGGACCAACTATCAACTTGAATTACCAAGCAAATGAATAGCAACTGACCACTTAAAACTGCTTTTATGAAATAACTTTTTCAAACGTCACGCTTCGTGCCTTCGTAATTAGGTTAATTTAATTGAAGCCCATCTGTAAGACAAAAAAAATCGAAAAGCGTCAAATAAAGCGCAATAAAAAAAAACTACCCCGGCTACTGTTTCAATGAAGTTCCCTTCTCTAAAGTCAAACAAATACTCGACATACAAGAACTGAACTTAGGGGTGGTTTTGTATTACTTTGGCTGAAAAAAACCCAAATTATCTCGTAGAATGCTTTTGATACTTCAGTCACCGGATCGAATCTAAATTAGAATGTACTATGGCAATGAGGTAAACGAGCGTTACTTATAATATTAAATCACGCGTATACGCTCGAATGTGGGATAAAACAATGGAAAGGTTCAAATTATATGTACTTTATCAAGCCCCATTCATATATAGGGGACAAGATCTGTGTTTGTGCTCGCATTGAATGGGATGGACCGTTTCGACCCTTAGCTGTAAATTTGCCGTATAATGATGGCGCTGACGGTCCTGGAATGCGCCTCTAATATTGCACAACCATTATATAGATATAGATGCGATAAGAGAATAGCAAAAAAATTAAAATATTCTGACCTACAGTAAAGGAATTTCAAAAGTAAAACGTCGTTTAATAATGTTGCTGATTGTCGCAATTCAATAACGAATATAAATAAATATTGAAAAAAACAGGTCTAGATTAATGTATCGCGGTCGGTATATTACACATTCCTTGTTTAAACATATTGGTTAATTGTCAGATCGTTTATTTATTACCTATTTCCCGTGCAGAATTCGGACAACTTTCACCTAAGCCCCTTAACTACACCACCGTCCACCTTTAACATGACTTTTTGAAGTTTTCATAAACAGCGCTTAAAAAATGAATGAAAAAGATGTTAACATGCGCATTCAAACGAACGAAATTTGTTTGGTTGTAGAGTCATGTTACGATTGTTAAGATAATAAAAGTCAAATAAATTTCTGCACAAAACGACTGTGCAAAAATAGATCCGCTGGACATCTTATGGCCTGAAAAACTATATTATTCCCCAAATCTAAAACGTTATATGAAAAGCAGTCATTAGACTATAATATATGGTGAAAGAGTCAGAATGTAGATTTGAATGTTGGCTTTTATTGTTAAATTGTGTTTGACGTTTCATTACTTACCATTCATTACCCTTCGTCCCTCATTTACTTTTAATTCCTTTGGGAAAAAAAGTGACACTGCACTCCTTCAAATGAAATGATAAAACACATTTAGATATTTGGAAATTACCAAGAGCGCCTTCACCATTTTAGTCTAGTCGTACACCGATACTGTTAAAGCAAATTTGAATTTTCAAAATAAATCGATTATCACAAGACGCTGAAGCATTGATGAAATTTTGGTAAAGTTTATCATTAAAGCTGTGCCACTCAGGATACTGAAGAAAACAGCAACCTCACAAGAAAGCAGAGAAGAGAACTACTAGAAGGAAAGACGATTACCAGGAGACTGAAGATGATTCAGATGAGATACTGAACATACCAACAAGAGGAACAAAGACCATATCATACGGGCTGCCAAGATTCTATGTGCCTCGGAATGGAAGGTACGCCGACCCTGCCACAGATGGAGCACCACCATAAACCAAACGGTAGAGGTCTCGGGGATTACCATGGGAAGATGGGAAGAAAAGAGCAAAGACACACATCAAGGAAGAAAGAAAGCCGAAAAATACTGGAGGTGGAGGAAGAAGCCAAGGGGAGGAGGAAAAGGGGCCAGAAAGTAACGCAGGGAGAGGACAACAATAAAAAGGGCCTAACACGAGGGAAAACCGGGAAGGGAACGAGACCAAAGGATAGGAACATCGGAAGCCAATGAACGCCCGGATAAGAAGCTATCACTAGAAAGTAGAGTTCCCTCTAAGGCAGAATACCAGTGGCGAAGCTGTGGCCGTACCCGTACGGGTCGGATAACACCCAATAAATATGTTACTTATTACTGTCAAACGTTACATTATGCTTAATTTTAATGATTTATTTATTTATATTTATATGAT